CCGCCACTTCCTGATTGAGTCTTTAATACAAAATAGATAGACCAACTTGTCTCTGTTGGGGTCTTTAGTGGCTAATATAATGGTACAGCAATCTCTGATGGGGTCTGGAGACAAGAGACTGACAGACTGGTCTCCGATAGGGTCTTTCGACAATAAACTAATGGACCCCGTGTCTGATGGGATCCTTAAATAACTGACTAACAGACCTATTTCTGACAGCGTCTTTAGACAATGGAATTGAACATTTGGCGCAGTGGTTAAGCCTCCTGCGCTCTGAACCTGATGAATTCGGCTGCTTGGGTTCGATTCCGGGCCACGGCTAACATCGGTGGCGAAGGAAGGGGCCCTTCCCTTCGCCACCCCGCACTGACCAGCGTGGTGAAGTACGATCAAACAACTCCTACGACCGACGCGGCTTGGGGAGGCTTCATGCAGCATTGGTTTTGTAAAGTGATGTGCCTTTAATTTGACAGCGAGGACCAGCAGACCGATGTCTGACAGGGTCTTTAGAAAGGACATTTTCTGCAGCATTACCTGAAGGAAGGACAAAACAGCAGGTCTCTTACAGAGACAGTTCTGATGGACCGTGGATTGAGATAAAAAAAATACTACACAAAGTAACCCCGATAAAGGGGTGCGTTAAGCCACAATATGACACGCAATCAGCTCGCAGGCTGCAATCAAATACAAAGCAGTCCTGTGGGAAATAGAAAGGAGGAAGTAATAACCCCATGCAGAATTGACCTCCAATCAGAAACATGGGCACAATTCACGTGGAATGGTGGCCATTAACCGGCATTCGCTTTGAACGCTCACAGAATTCCAAAAAATGGCACTCGGTGCATTCCAATCTTATACAACAACAACTGCCCCGCAAATCTGTTCTGCAATTTCCAGACGTAGCACTCTTTTTATCTTCTTAATTGACCATTCACTTCCAATGCAATTTCAAGCGTTGCCTTTTTAAAAATTATTATTTCTATTTTTTTTTCATTCGTGCACAGCTGTCAGGAAGAGTGCCCAGAAGTGGACCCCCCTTCCCTTAACGCAGGCAATTTCGGCTGAAAGGGAAGGACAATTGTAAAGCCCAGTACAACAACGTGGCTCCAACACCCGCTCGCACACCTACATACAAGGTTTGTGCCTCTGATCGAGCCGAGCTATCAGACAGATGAAGTAATCAATTCCTCCACCGATATTCAGTTTGACTGATCGACTAACCGGATAACACGGAAAATAGCTGAGAATTAAAAAATAAATCTTACATTTGTTTCCACACGAGCCACCAGCCGGGTGGCAATGAGTAAGGCTAAGTGACATTCTCATGTTTGGAATTCCCTCTCACCATCTTTTTTCCAAAGTTCCCCAATCCACGTTACAATCGTGAACTGCGTCAGTTCTTATCTGCTGCACTGTCATTGGTGCTCTCAATTGCTGACTGCTTTAAGGGCTTGGAAAGAGCAATCGTAAAAAAAAAAATGATGATGCATGGTGCATTGTGGGAATGGCTCATGGATTGCGGTTTGGGCTGAACGTGCTTTACGACAACGTCCATGCATTCCAGTCAGGTTCTGCAATTTCAGAGCCAAAACATAATTTCTCTCACGGACAATTCTGCATTAAATAATAATTTCCTTACCCCGATGAAAGCCTTATCCGAGTCTCGAGACTTGTATAGCGTGGGAGAGAACAGGCCAAACATTCCCTCCAGAGGTGCTCTTGAGATCTCCCTCCACTGGAAACACTGCGACGAGCAGCGGCAGGAGCATGTCAATTGCAGGGCTGCCCCTTTACCTACACAACGTGCGTGGTCTTCTTGGTTCTTTCGGTAAAGTCACGTAGAAGGGAAGTAATAAAATAATAAAAATAAAACATAATAAAATAATTCTCACGACGTTTCGGCCACAACGCAAGCAGCCATCCTCACCTGAGGACGGCTGAAACGTCGTGAGAATTATTTTATTATGTTTTATTTTTATTATTTTATTACTTCCCTTCTACGTGACTTTACCGAAAGAACCAAGAAGATGAATCCCTGCAGTCACGAAAGCTTTAAATCGAAATTTAATTTGCGTGGTGCGTTTGGCCAATTGCAATGACCAGTTTGCCAGTTTAACACCTAGGCTTTCGCGACCAACGTTGTTCATAATAAAGTTTTTTTTGGGTTGGATCGCGTAAGTATAAATGTGTCGTAACCCTCCACCACCTGACACGGCCAATGAGTACTGGATTTGTCGCGTAAACACAACAACAAATAGTTTACTACTTCAGCCCACCGGTGTATTGGAGAGTAAATCCACAACATTGACAATTTAAGTAGTACGACGTTTCGCTGCTAATTACATCCAGCATCATCGGGCGATTTGCCAGAATAGTGAAGCGATCCACCTGCTTCCGTTATTAAATTGAGCATGTCGACGTCATCACCCGAACGACACATTTATACTTACGCGATCTAACCCAAAAACCTTTATTATTATGAATACCAGTTTGCACATTGGGTCAGTTCTATTTTTGGCCAATTTTTGGCGTGTTACATCCGGCACACGAGCCCCGAGCCAATTCTTTGACAAACTTTAAGGAAAATGTTTGACGACTCATTTCTGTTGCTGTTGATGGTGACGTTGTCACTCAGTGCCGTTTCGTTTGACTCAATACACTTGAGAACCACTTTTAATCACTGGCAGCTGCCTCTGTGAATACCATGACAATATTGAAACAAAACGTTTGTTGTTGTTTTATATTGGGTCGTCCCTTCATTTAAAGCATAGTCCTGGCTTTGAGCCACAGGGGAGAGAACAGATGGGGTTGGGAGGGAAGCATTAATAATAAAAACCCGCATTGCTCAATAACACTGCCCTAAAAGATAAATATTGCTTTTGGGGAAATGACCCTTCCCCATTGCAAAGAGATCATCATCTGTCAGAACTACAGAGCCCAACTGAATAAGAAACAATACAAATGAGACGGTAACAGAGAGATGAAAAAAGGGCCATATCCCAAAACGTCGCCTATTTTATTTAGTTTGTTTCCCCGTTCGGGCAGCGTTACTGACAAATGCGTTGAGCATTTTGTTATTTGTGCTCATGTAACCAATGCCATCGCTACACGGCAAGTCCTCATCGAATGCGCGTTACACGCAACGCGTTGTCGCTATAACGCGGTTCTTCCATTCGGGAACACTTTTCACACAACGTGGAATGCGCCCCGTTATAATTATAAAGGCTGTGGGTTTACCCTCCAACACAACGGTGTGCAGGGTGGCGGCGGGTTTAACGACGCATTTATATTTATTCAATCTAACACAAAAACCTCTATTATGGACAATATTGGTCGCAAAAGCTTACTCGGTGTTAAACCGTTATCGTGCTGAATGCGCATCGTTCAAACGCGCTTTCTGAGCGATTGACGACGCACTACTTTGGGCTGCGCGACTGAGCAGTGTGGGAATTCTGGGTACACGCGTGGAAATCACATGGCACGCGATGGTGAGATGTCACCTTCCCCGCCTGGTATCCAGGTCGGGGTTCGATCCCGACTCCGACGTCTGTATATTTGTGGTTTGCGTGTTCTCCCCGTGGTCGCGTGGAATTGTTTCTCCGGGTCCTCCGTTTTTTCCCTCCACATTTCGAAACATGCATTGAGAGTATTTAGATTATTGTGGTGCTATGAAGTTCAAAATAATGGGGGCCACTTTGCTGAGCTATCATTTGGGGCAAGGTCGATCCTGATAAATAAATTAATGTCTCAGTGGGCTTTTCGTCAGGGGCGGTTTCTTCATTAGGGCGATTGGGCGACGCACCACCAATGTCATTGAACCACAGAGTCACGCTAGCCGTCACTGCAGCCTCTGGATATAGTCCAATCAGCGTCATGCTACGTTCTGTGGAGTACCGCCTCTTTTTGGGCGATTTCCCTCCAGCTGAGAATCGCCCCGAGTGGCCCCATAGACTTACATTCAAAGATGTTTTTTTTCGAACGGGGGCGCTGCAATGCATTATCTATGGCTTCCGGGAGGGCTCGCCCTAACATGCTTACGTCATCATACGTGCTTACGTCATCATACGTAAGCACGTTTCATCCAACAATATTTGTTGCCACCGAGTGGAATCTTTAATAAAATAAACTTGAGTGGTTTGTTTTAATAGTGAGTATAGAAACAAACAAGATGTATTGTAAGAGTCACTTTATTTTTCACTAATATTAAAGAAGTGAATTTGCCTTTACATGCTTAAGCTGTTAATTTATCCATTGCATGGGTGGACCTTATCCTTATCAATCATCCAGACATTTGCCCCCCCTGAGAGATTTTGCAGGAGCCGCCACTGCTTTTCGTGGTAAGATGAGGATGGTTTAGTTTGATTTGTGTTTGAGTGATTTGTTTACATTTATTTTACTTCGCATTACTATTATGTTTTTGTAATGTTTGTTGTGATGACGTTCTTACCAGCCCCGACTAGACATCTTTGAGAAAGAGCTTTATAGCTTATCGGATTCCTCCAATATAAAATACATATTCTGATTCTAATCTCAGTTATTTGTCCTGCCGTAGGATTGCTGCAGGCTGATTTTCTAGCGCATATGTGAGTCAAATCGCATTGCCCTGCAATGTATACATGCACAGCCATTCCTCGTGGAACGCGTCTTCTCTTATTGCAGCACCTTTCAGGAATCCATCTAGCGTATTACACTTGGAATTCCTGTATCCCAAACATTGCTGTTTTATTCAGAGGCAAAGGACGGACAGATGCACTTCTGCGGCCGTCTGTTATACTCTTCCAAGCCACTGGAGCTATACACTTTAAATCTCGATTGAAAACTAATCTCTTGTCAACTGTCTTTTTATGTTTAGTTTGCTGTCCGTTCCCCGCACCCCGATTAGCACGGTTGGCTCCGTACGGTGCTAAAGAAGTTCAACGTACATGCAAAAAATACAGACGGGATAGGTATCAGTGGGTGAAGTGTGGCAGGGGGGGGTATAAAAGCAGTTGGCCTCTGACCGGAGCAAGTGGGGCAGGAGATGGCCTCGGCACTCAGGTTGTTCTTGAGGTCGAGCATCATCTGGATGTTGGTGTCGGGGCGGAACAGCAGCGGCGGGCGGCTGGCTGGCCCGAGGCGCCACGCACAGAGCGCCCCGAGCACCAGCACGGCCACGTACGAACCTGCGAGCGCCGACCACCGTGAGAAGAGCGGGGAGCCGGGCAAGGAGGGCGGAAAAACACAGACGGACGGGCGGGTGAGCGGTGAGTGTAAGATCAGAGACGGCTGAGATGCATGTTCGTGTGTTGAACTTGTTTTGCGCTATACATCGACAACCGTGCTAATCGGAGGTGCCGGGGGAAGGACAACAAACTAAACACAAAAAGCAGTCCGAAAGAAATTAGTGCTCAATCAAGATTTTAAACTGCATAGCTCCAATGGCTTCCTCATATCAGATATGTCAAGGAAGTGGTTTGTGGTACTTCCCAGTAAGAACAGCAACGGAATTATGATTGCACTATGTAACACAATTTTTGTTCCTGGGTAGTAAGTGTTATTTCGTAATTGCTTATGCCTAAAAAGTACAAAAATGGCTGTTATTCCCCACAAACTTTGATTTTGTGACCAGGACAGTGATATTTTGAAATGTACCTATTTTCAATGAGAAAACGGGCCAATTTGTTTCTTTTCGTTCACATAAATTGAGAAAAAAAACTACATATGAATAAAAATGAACATGTTTTTTATACTAAAGTAATACAAAAATTACTACAAAAAATATAGAAGTGAGTAGTTTATCGAAATTTACAATTATACTGTAAATCACTTTCACGAATCAGCCCCCAAATGTAGTCTTCCATCATGTTCTGGTTATACTGTCCTTGGTAGCGGCGTTCAAAGTCCAGTATATCCTGGTGGAAGCGCTCGCCTTGCTCCTCCGAGTACACTCCCATGTTCTCCTTGAATTTATCAAGATGAGCATCAAGGATATGGACTTTTGAGGGACATCCTACAGCCCATTGTGCCGTAGTTCTTCACTGGAGTCTCAACCAGATCCACATAGTTTTCCACCTTGTGATTGCCCAAGAAGCCACGGACCACTGCGACAAAGCTGTCCCAAGCCGCTTTCTCCTTACTCGTGAGCTTCTTGGGGAATTCATTGCACTCCAGGATCTTCTTTATCTGTGGTCTGACGAAGACACCGGCTTTGACCTTTTGCCTCAGACAGCTTAGGGAATAAGTCTTGAAGGTACTTGAAGGCTGCTGACTCCTTATCTACAGCTCTGACAAATTGTTTCATCAGGCCCAATTTGATGTGCAGTGGTGGCATCAGCACCTTTCGGGGGTCCACCAGTGGCTCCCACTTGACGTTGTTCCTCCCCACAGAGAACTTGGTCCGCTGTGGCCAGTCCTGCCTGTGGTAGTGCGCCTTGGTGTCTAAATCTTTTGTAGTCATTTTTGTATAACTTTAGTATAAATACATGTTAATTTTGATTAATATGTTGTTTTTTCCTGACTTTGTGAACGAAATGGCACAAATTGGCCCGTTTTCTCATTGAAAATAGGTACATTTCAAAATAGCACTGTCCTAGTCACAAAAGCAAAGTTTGTGGGGAATAATAGTAATTTTCTGTACTTTTGAGGCATAAGCATTTAGGAAATAAAACTTACTACCCAGTGACAAAAAAAGTTTTTGTTACGCAGTGTTATTATACAAGGAGTCATTCCTCTATAATTACTCGTATTCTTAGTATACTTTTGCCCAGGAAAGGCTCACCGAGTCTCAATACTCCATCTCTCTCCCTGTGGTGGTCGCGTGGATCGTTTCCTCTGGCTTTGCCCGCCTCCACACTTACAAATAACATGCTGTGTACTATTCAATCATACGTGCGATGAAGGCGATTTTTCAGTTTCAGTTTCATCTATTAGGTATAACCCTGTGAGCCATTCGGCTCTTGCATCGGGTGCAACCGCAACAAACAAAAACATGAACAAGAAACATCTTAAAGTGACTGTGTAACAGAAAAATCCAGGAAAAAACAGCAAAGTCTTCCAGAAAAAGCACGGTATATCAACGCTGTGTGCAATAATCCCAGTGGGATGCAAGTCAAACAATAACAACCACAAGACAATTTAGATTGAAGTTATCAGTCTAACTCTGTACTACAACAAACAAATATGGCTAGACCAAAACGTTTTCGAAATCACCAAAATGAAGCTATAAAAACAAGGTAAGCCACTTCGATTAGTTACCCACACTTTACCCACGGTGGCGAGATGTTAACTACCTCGCCGGGTATACAAGTCGTGTCTATTTGGAGTTTGCATGTCTCTCTCCCCGTGGTCGCGTGGATTTGTCTCCAGGTCCTCCGGGTTTTCCCTCCACATTTTGAAACATGCGTTTATGGTATTTAGATTATTTTGGTGCGATGAAGTTAAAAATAATGGGGGCCACTTTGCTGAGCTATCATTTGGGGCCAGGTCGATCCTGATAAATAAATTAACGTCTCAGTGGGATTTTCGTGGTAAGATGGGGATGGTATAGTTTTATTTGTGTGTGTTTGAGTGATTTGTTTACATTTATTTTACTTTGCACTACTATCATGTTTTTGTAATGTTTGTTGTTATGAAGTTCTTACCAGCCCCTACTGGATATCTTTGAGAAACATCTTTAAAGCTCATCGGATTCCTCCACTATAAATACATATTCTGATTCGTTTATAGTCATTTGGCTGCTATAAATTTCAACATCACAAGCCACTTTGTTGGGCTATCATTTGTGGCCAGGTCGCCTCTGAAAACTAGCTAATAGCTCAGTGGCTCGAACTGATAAATAAAATAGTTACTAGTCTGTAAATATAATATATATAGAAAAATGTTCACAAAGAAACATGCTTAAAATAAAATTTCTATCAAGGCACCATGGTGAATAGTGCAGTCTCTAACAATTATTCACTCAGTTTAACACGTGTAGGCTTTCGCGGCCAATATTATTCATAATAAACGTTTTTGGGTTAGATCGCGTTATTTATAAATGTGTCGTAACCCTCCACCACCCGACATGGCTAATCAGCGAATTGCCCGATGATGCTGGATGTAATTACCAGCGAAACGTCGTACTCAAAAATTGTAAATGTTGTGGATTCACTCTTCAACACACCGGTGGGCTAAAGTAGTGAACTATTTGTATTTTGTCAACGTGACACTTTTTTGCTGATTGGCCGTGTCGGGTGGTGGAGGGTTACGACACATTTATAAATAACGCAATCTAACCCAAAACGTTTATTATGAATTATTCAGTCAATCTCTTTGGCCTCTCCATCTCTCTGATACAAAGAAAAATCATTGCCGTAAATGTCCCCTGCTATAAGATTATTATTTTTTCCCCCTTTAGGGCGCCGTGTTATTGATGCACCTGTTCAGTCAACGATTTGGGTGGATTTTATTTTTGGGTCGGAGAGAAGCAGGATGGGGGAAATGCTGACACGTGGTATTTTAGAAGCATCGTGGGAATAATGAACGGAAGTAGTAAACAGGAGAGATGCAATCGGGGGAGAACTGCTCTAAACGATAAAACATGGACAGGCACATTTCATACGCAGGCTTTCACAACCAATACCGTCCGTGTTATGAATCAGGAGAGGCGTACGTGATGCATTGACACAAGGCGGTCAAAGGAAAACGATTGCTAAGGCGGTTATTGTCGTTGTGAGCGGACGGAAGAAAATCAAGAGGCAGCTAGGGATGCGATGGAAAGACGCTGTCACGTGCACTCTGGGTAAGAGCGAACGGGACTGTAGAGTGATAAAGACAGACACGAGATGGGAACAGGGGCAGACAGAAGAGAGAGGCTGTCTACCAAACAACCCAGTCAATGCCTGTACGGGTGGAGACCGATGATGATGATTGATGGTGATGGTGTGGGATAGATAATAGACAAGATGAGGTGCATCGTTGGGGAGGTACGAACAACAACGGGGCGGGGGAGAGGTGAAACAATGTTGAGCGGCCTCTGAAACGAGGGTGAAGCAAGGACGCGATAATTGGGAGGCATTTGTAAGAGGGCAGGAGCAGTATGGGGATTCAAAGGGAGAAGGAGGGAGGCAATAGCGGGGAGGTGCAAAGGGATCTATGCAGTGAGGGAGTGGCAAGAGGTGTGAGGGAAACGCGTCGGAGGGCGAGGGCAGATGACTGGGAACAAGTTGCCAAAGGGGGAAACATTCAGCAGTGGAACGGAGGAGGAACGCATCGGGAAAGGGGAGGGATTCGACTGGAAAGGTTTCTGCAGTTGCGCTGCGTAGGCTTCTCCCCGTGTGCGTCGGGGTGGGCACCTGCGTGTCGTTCGGCACGACGTCCCCAGAACGTGGCGCGAAACGTCGGACACCGTGCCGAACGAGGCGGGAAACGCATCGGAGAGGGCGTGGGGGATTGTTTTTGTTTTCTGACGGGGGAGGAGTCTGCGGTGAGCGCAGGAAGAGGTAGAGGTAGGGGAAGATGAAACGTCTTAAGCCCTCAGCGCCCCATTACTCCCGAGACAACCTCGTAAAATAAAAATAAAACACACCGCACATATCTTCTTGGTTCTTTCGGTAAAGTCACGTAGAAGGGAAGTAATAAAATAATAAAAATAAAACATAATAAAATAATTCTCACGACGTTTCGGCCACAACGCAAGCAGCCGTCCTCGGGTGAAGAAACAGGTCTGTCGAGAAGACAGCGTCTGAATGAAAGGACCAAGAAGATGAATCCCCGCAGTCACGAAAGCTTTAAATCGAAATACGCCGCACATAATTCCAGCTCGAGTAAAAAAAAAACAGGTATCAAATAAAAGCGGCCGACAGTAACGGAATTACGCGCTGCCCGCATTAATTGCGCGCTCGGCGTGCGAGCGCGGTGTGCGAGCGCGGTTCGGTCGACCTCCGTGAACCCTCGCCGCATTTGTCCAATTACTCACAGTCCACTTTGCGTCGCTTACTCCGATTAAAGCGGAATTATACACGATGCGCCGCTATAGCCGCACGCCGGGCACCGCATCTATTCTCCCCTAATTATAAAGGATGCTGCCACGCGTAACGGTCGGCAACACTTGGCATTTGTTCCGGAGGTCACCGGTTCCATTTCACCATCCTAGCATGCCAATTGAAAAACACGGGCAAGTTTCTTAAACCCACCCCCCCCACCC